TCCCTTTTGCCTTTTTATTCTTTCTCCTTTGTAGAGAGACAGACTACACCAGGGATACAACTGCATTTCCTGGCTATATCATTATTATTACAAAATATACATCTGTACTTGTTTGCGTTCTCTATCAATTTCACATTCCTAAAGTTAGACTCCTCATGCTTGATGAAGTTGCCCAGAACCCTAAATTCTCAGATTTAAATGAGCCTTCTTCAAACAATTTTGTTTGCTGTGAATCTTGGCATTCAAATTTCACCCTACTCAAAAAAGTTGTCTTGACTTTTTTCTTCTACATATTTTCTATAAATCTCCCCTTTCCATAATATATTCTTTATGTACAAACTCTATGAGTAAAAATATATGCTTATGAAGTCCCCATGTAAAATAATTCTAACCCTACTAATGTTAGACAAAAAAAAAAAAATCAATATTTATCCTTGGGGGAAAAAACTCTTGCCTAATAAGATGGACTTGAATTTTCACTAAATTTTGTATAAGAAAGGAACTAGATGATTTGACATCTGCGATCTTTTTCACACTCACAAATCTGTTTTGCTACTGGTAAAGTAAGGCCAAGAGAGTCAAATAACTTGTACAACAAGGCCGTGCAATGAGTTAATGGTTGATAATGGGACAAATATCAAGGTTTAGCAATCCTCAATTCCATCTCAATATTCTAAATTTTAAACCTATGATAGTCTCATGATATTTTAAACCATTCATGGTCTGAGTCCTAGATCTAATTAGCAAATACATAGCTATCATACAGAGCACCATTCTCTAAAAGCAGCAAACTGTGTGAAAAACATGTTTATGGAGAAGAGCAGGGGAGACTACTCTCAAAATACATTCATGTAGTATTTGATAAATTCAGGCTAGAAGACCAAAGAGTAGTAGTAAATAAATGTCATGCTCCTAACTGAATTTTGCAGAGAGTCTTCCGCCTGGTTTTTTTCTATGTTTCACTTTGCCCGTCAGCTGTGAGCTGTTTCCATGTGTGAAATCACCTGAGAGAGGAAGCAAAGCTGTCATCTGACATCTGGGAGCATGGAGATCGGAATGCAGTGAAGAGCATTTTGGGCTTCTTCAATTTATACACATGTTTTCACCTATAAATTCTCAAATCTGAGAAGTGCTCCATGAGAAATACCAATGTAAATTTCAAGCGTTTATAAAGACTTACAGCGGGACAGGAAACAAAGGTGAGGGTGCACGCTGACAGGGCAGCCCCTCCACTTCTTAAGGCTAGAGGGGGAAACTGAGGTGGTCACATTAGCATGATATCCAACAGATAAAGAGTTTTACTCCCTTGGATTGCATATGAAACTTTCAAATCCAGCTGTTTGTATTGTACATGCTCAACATCATAGGTTCTATTTTCTAGCTGCTTTTTAATGATTGGTTAAGACTGCTAAAAAGAACTAATAAAAGAAAAATTCTTAACATTTTATTTTTCCATTATACTTCAAATGCTATAACAAAAAATTATTCTATGTTATGATAGTTCTAATGATACAACTCACAAAATCCTTTGCATGCATATGCATGAGCAAGTAGAAATAAAATCAGAGTAACTACAAGGAAGTCCTCTGGAGAAATAACCAATTCACTCCAGTTTTTATTCTATAGTCTCTCATAATGAGAAATAAGGGAACCTGTCTAAAAGTCTCTAAATATAGTATCTAAAAGTCTCCTAATATGGAAACTAGACACTGTTATATTTATATTGTCATGCTATACAATCAATTCCTGCTTTGGGGACTATCTCTTTGCTCGTTCTCTTCCTGAACTCAGTTCTGTTTCTGCGGTATGAAAGGAACCCATTTACTATGAATGATATTTATTCAAAATAAAACCTTTCTAGAGAATCATCCTAGATAATCTAAGGATACAAAGTGAACCTAAAAGGAGGGGCTCCTACTCTGAAAACAGGGCTGGGTTTGATCGATGAATTCGTATTCTCAAGACCCTCTTGACGGGCCCGCAGCTGCAGCCATTTATTCGCTGGCTTTTTCACAGATGTAGACAGAGAACACTCCACGGTTTTTGTCTTTTTGTTGTTGGATTTGTTTTCTTTAATATAAAAAGTGGCAACTTTAAAAAAAAGCATTCTTCATTTTATTACAGAAGCTTGCCAATATCAGACATCCTGAGTAGTATATTGTTGAAATGACTATGACTTTTAAAAGCTAAGATCACAAAGTTGGCAGAAACTATACTTAAATAACAGAAGGTGATCATTTGCATTTCAAAATTTATCTATCTTGCTTTTCCCCTCAATTAGGCCAAAACATGTTGATTCACAGGTTTCTGTGTGTATGTTTCTTTCTTTTTCTAAACTTATTTATAGAGCAGAATAATAGCCCCCCTGCTAGTTTGGCATTTGCTCAAGTTTCTGCCCATGCAAATCGAATCTGTTACTGGAAATTTTTCTCAAAATATAACGGCCCATCATCCACAAGATAAAAAGATACATCACTGAAAATATAAAGTACAGGGCAGGTGGATAATGTTTTTAGGACAAATACATGATAAGGATTCCCAGGAGGGAGGAGTGGTGGGGGTAGAGGTTGCACACTGTTTAAACAGAAGTGAATTGTTCGCATCATAATCTTGTGACAACTTTACTTTCTAACCAAACATCAGTGGTTTAATACACCTTAGAGTTACTTAGACAATAATATTAAGGTTAGAATTGGGAAATGGGAGGGCAGGGGGTGTGGAAGAATTAGTTAAACCCTTAGTGTTTCTAAGGGTAGATCAAAAGAGGGGTAAGAACTCTATGTCCTGATGTGAGATGCATAGTAATTTACAAATTTTGCTCCAATTCCTTGCACTGTAAGCAAGGGGCCAGGAGTACACAGACTTAACTGACTTCGTTGACTCTAAGTGTAAGATCATCTAGATTAGAACACTAGCATTACTTTTCAGTTAAAGGCCATTACTGGCTTTATTTTATCCTGTTGATAAAATAAATTATTCAGCCCAGGAAATGAAGAGACTTTCCACATTGTTCAATACAAGCCATAATACTAGGCAAGTCACAAAGCTTGGAAGTACAATTCTTTTATGCAAATAATTAAAACAAAGCCCTTCTTCAGACTACAGCTTTTTTTGAATGCTAGTGAAGGACAACCTGAAAGATGAGAGCAAAAATCCATTAATGGTAGACTGCCACCTGCTGGTCAACTGTAAGAATTGTGATTTCTGAAAAAAGGCTTAAAAATTAGAACTTAGATACTGATCTATTAAATTCAGTATTCCAGTACACAAAATCGAAAAGTATGTCTCTATTGATGAATGCAATATGGTTTTGTTTCACATATATTTAAACTCTCAGAAGGTCAACATGTTATAATGTTTCAGTAAATATGGCTGTACTTTAAAATGAAGAAAAATAATCTGCTGGAACGTTGAAGTACAACCCTACAGGTAGTATCCAATAAGAAAGTAACAACACTACAGGAAATAAGGAGTCAGTTAGAAACATTAAACAATGTTCCATAAACATCTGGCTTTGATGTAAGATTTATACTGCACCTGACTTCAAGATTCAATAGGATTTCATTTGAAAAAAATCCCCAGATTTAATTTTGATTCTAAAACCTCCAATTCAATATAAGTAACACATATATTTATGTATACTGGTACCTCAAGTGTTATTTCTTATCAAGTTAGAAAAAAGGAGGGTCTGTTAAAAGAAAAACAAAACTTGATAACCTTAGCAAAGTGCTTTTACTATGAAAAAAATTTTTGTTATCCCATTATCTAAATCATACTAATAAGGTTTCAAATAAACAGCATAATATTATCTATTTGAGAGAAACAAAAAATGTAATCCTGCACTATTGCCCCTAGGAAGACAAAAAAAACAAACCAACCAAAACCACCACCACAGAGCCCTAATTTGGGGGAAGAAAGTAACAGTAAGAAGAAAATTCAAATCATTGTTTTCAGAAAATAGTTTTAGGATATTTGCTTTGCAAGTTGAGAAACTTTGCTATTCCCCAATACAAAAATCATTCCTAACAATGAAGAGTGTAACTAAAAACAATATAGCTCTTTCCATCCTAATTATAATAATTTCCCATTATGCGGGGAAACAACGTTAGCATCAATAATACACTGGTTAGCTAGTAAGCACTTAAATACTCTATTAATCAGCAACTAAGCAGATCATGTCAACATAATCAGCTTGAACTTTCTCTGAAAGCCAGTGGGGGGAACAAGTGAGGAAACTTCGGCCATCCAAAGAGCCTGAATGCTCGGCAAAAGGGTGAAGGAGCTCTGCATTCAAACACAGCCCTATCTGACAGAGAGAAACTAACTCAGACCCAATTCATATGCTCAAGTGACCTGTAATTATCAACAAAGTATTACCTAACACTCCCAGAAATAAAACTCTAATTAAAAAAAAAAGAAAGAAAATACAGTAAAAGAGAAACCTGTCACATCAAATATTTGGCAAAATAGGCTATTTTAAAAGAATAACATGCTTCTTAAAATTTCTCAAACACAGAAAAAGAAAGAAAACAAAACTCTTTACAATCTGCTCTAAAATGCCAAGTTGGCTCATCACTGAAATCACAACCTGTATTCTCTTAAAATTCTGTATTTTACCCATATTTTTAGCCTCGGAGATTTTACCCTTTTAGTCAATTACCTCTCACATCTTAATAAAAATCATCTACTTAAAGAGGTTCAGGGTGTTTAAATTTCTTTCTAAACACTACAAAGTTAAGACGTCTCTAAGACATTGACAGTTTCACAGGAGGTACAAACCCGTTTAACAACAAATACACACACACACACACACACACACACACACACACAACTATACATTATATAATGGTTTCATCTCCCAATCTCCTCTTTTGAAGCACTAAAGAGGTAACCAAACCCAATATACATGTAAAGTGCTAGTGAAAAATACATCTTCCCCAAAGAAATGGGAGCGGCGGAACTACTTTGTCGAGGGAAGCGGCGCAAGAGACAGCGCTGACCTGGGGCGCAGTACATTCTCTCCATGGCATCGCTGTCACAGGAATCTTCAACCTCACTCCACCTGCTGAAATACGTTAGCTGGATGTGTCCTAAAAACAAAACGACAGGAGAAATCAAAACATTTTTCTCTTCCATTTTCTGCAGAAGTGAACTGTAATTACTCCTTTTGTAGCTAAAAACAGTATCATTAAGAATAATGGCATCATTAAGTACTAGAAGCTATTACTGGGGGTGAATTTGCTGCACTGATAATGAAGCTCTAGATAGGAAATGAAGATACTAATTACAAGATAAAACGCCTACTCAGTTAATTGGAAGCAACAGCGAATAAAAAGAAATGCATTTGCAAAAGTTCCTGACCTCTATCATTCAATAAGATGTTGTTTGGGTTCAAATCGCGGCACACAATTCCCTCTCTATGTAAAGCATCAAGGGCTACCACCATTTCAGCTGCCCATCTTTGAATGCAGCCCTCTGGGATGTAAAACCTGGAGTTTAGTGCTAATTTTTTATCAAGGTCCTCAAAAATCTGATGTATCTCCTTGTCTCCTTGTGCTAACCCACTTGCTCCCTTAGTCACAGAGTCTCTCTGAAATAAAGTCGACTCCTCTTCAGCCAAATCATCGGCTTGATCTGTAAACAGCAATACTTCCTCAGTTTTTAAAGTGTCTCTGTTTGCATGATATTCATTAGCACCTGAGAGTGGGTCGGAAACAGGGAATAAGCTTTCTTCGCTGTCGTTTGCAGTTGCTGCCAACCCAACCACTCCATGTCCTCGAAAGTTAGCATCTGAGGTGTGTAACACAGACACGTCTCCTGAACTACTATGATCAACAGCAGCCGCAAATAACATCCCAAGATCCCCTTGTACGTAGTGTTTCTCTGTTACACCGTGGGGTTTAAGACTAGAGGGATCACTCAATTCCTCTGAGCCTTTTTCTTCTTGCACTTGGCACTGTTCAGCACTAAGCCTGAGGCATAAAACGTCGGGGGCTTCCAATAGTTTACTTTCCATGATGCCTATATTAGTCTGTGTAAACTTAGTAGGCCCCATCGCTGTACCATCTTTGGTTGGCTCCAATTCACCAGGTAGGTTTACAAGAAGATCAGGCCTTCCTTCATCAGGACCACTGATATCATCAAAAGCAGCATCTTTAAAAGAAATAACTGGGACAGAGTCATCTGAGCCCCTGCTAATGGTATCATGAGCTATAACCCTGCTTTCACTAATATTAAAACTTCTGTCTCCATCTGGAAGTGTAAAAAATGGTTTCAAAGGCTCTGACTTTAAACTATACATTTTTTCTCCAAAATCAAGTCCTAGGAGTTCACTAGTGCTGTCCTTACTGTCTATCCTAAAGAATTCCATGGAGCTATTTTTAGATCTACTGAGGGAATCTGATGTTCTTGGGGAACTAACTGCTTCCAGGTCATCCTTTCCAGGGAAGAGCAGCAGCTCATGAGCGATCCGCTGAGTGCTGGGGCTGTCCGCCGCGAGGTGTGCTGGGAAGCCTTCTACAGCTTTGGTATCACCATTTCCTTCACTCTTCATGAAAGGCTCCTCACTCAATGACCCCGGTTCAATCTTTTCTTGCCCATATTCATTGCATAATGTTAAATAACTAGTAGTGCATTCTTCTTCTGAACTTGAGCCAGAATCAGGCCATTTTGGAGAGCTGTCTTGACCGTCATCGTCTTGGTTGCTATCGTCTTGAGAGCTCTGAGTCAGACTAGTCTTCAAAGGCACGACTTGCAGTATGGCTCCCCCATCACTTCCTCTGGATTCGAAGCTGCTGCTGTCCTGAGGACTACATGTCGGCTGTTGCAGGCGAACTTTACTAAGTGCAGATTTTTCCACTTCCTCTATGTCAAGGCTTTCTTCAGGACTTCTGTTTAGAAATTTACTGATATATGACCAGAGTTTGCCACCTGTGAACAAATATAACCAAAAAAAAAAAAAATTTAACATCCCCAAATTAATAGTTATTCATTGAAGCCATTAGAAAAGCAAAAAAGTATTCTAATAATCAATTAAAAGTTAGTCAATGATACCCAGCCATTAATATCCACTATGCTGAAAGACAAGCATTTTAATACAATGTCTTTCGTCATTGCTGACTGGTGAGTAGTTTCAAGCATCTCTCTCCTAAAGGCAATTATTTCTGAAAGAACAACCTATTTCTCCCTTTGAAGGAAATCAGTTATAACAAATACTAATATGAAATCTCACTGACCAAGCTCTGCTTTAAAGTTAAATATAATTTAGCTTTAGAAACATCTGATTGTGCTCTGATTTGTTTATGTAATAATTTTTTCAAGCTGGTCACTTGGTCAAGCGGAAATTCATAAATAAGTGCTGCCTAAAATCTTATATACTTCATTGGGAAAAAAAATCAAGAGTATTATTGCATTTTGAAAATACCGAGTCGAGGATCAGAGGGGAGATTTGGCATCTGGTATATAATTATGCCCTTATAAATGATATATTAATATTTTTTTCCAATTTTCTCCCCTCCCCAAACACATCATGTGTAGTAGGAGACCAAGTAATAGAATTGAGGAATATTGATTGAGCAGCCATTAACGAGGCAAGCTATTCATTCTAATTTTTTATTCTGATATATATATATCAGAAACCTATAAAACCCAAAATCTTAAAAATCAATTTCACATAAATCATAGAAATAAAATACACACCATATAATCCAATGTTTTACCAGCAATACTTGCCAGGTGTTTATTTCACCTGATTTTTCTTTTGTTTCTTTTAACCATTAAAAACTAAACCTCTTTTGCTAATTAGAATTTTTGAATAACTAAATTATGATAAGTATCAAAAACCTACCAAAGCTCTACTGACTAGAAACAGTATTATAAGAAGAAAGAATAGTTAAATTTGACTGAGAAATCTTAAAAACAGTAACTGCAGAAGCACACTGTGAAGATACAACTGCAGCTTCCAAAGGTGAGAAATAATGTGTTAAAGATAAAACCCTCTAGCCCTGGCTGGTGTGGCTCCGTGGACTGAGCGCTGGCCTGTGAACCGAAAGGGGTGGTTTGGTTCCCAGTCAGGGCACGTGCCTGAGCTGTGGACTCAGGCAACCCAGGAGAGGCAACCCGTGGATGTTTCTCTCCCTCTCTTTCTCCCTCTCTCTAAAAAGAAATAAGATTTTTTTTAAAATAAAAAATAAATTAAACCCTCTTTTAATATGGTGAAGGCAACTTTTTTCGGCACATTTTTAATGCTGTTATTAAGCATCATATACCCCGGGGAACTAAATCTTAAGAGAAATAATCATCGACAGTCCATTATTGTATAAAAATGTCAATGGAAACATCCAAAATTCTTTTCCTACTTTGCATTCCACTCCATTTAGAGGAACTGAGTAAGTACATACAGCTCCTGACACTATGTCTAGCATAGCGTAACTGCTCAATAAAGGGTACCTGTCGTTATTTAATCCTAAAATAGCCTTACACCTCCTCTACCAGGGATCAAGTTCGCAGTCTTTTTCCACTTGGATAATAATCAGTGGTATAGGACATTATGGCATTTAACTTTCCCCTCTCATTTTTTCTTAGCTAACTTTCTGTCCTCACTAGATTATACTTAGTTTTTCTTATTTCGCCCTGTTGAAACGCAAGTTTAAAGATTCATATATGGCTGAAACGTACTCACTCGTACAAGGGGCTATGCACTGATTCCATCTTTTCTTCACCTTTTGACAACATATAATCACACTCCTCTTGTCTGTCACAGATACTTCTACTGTGGCACTCTAACGATAACATCTGAACCTGAAGCTAGGATTCTTGTATGCAATCCAAAAAAGTGATGTGTTGTTCTCAGTTCTTCTAGACACCGACTACCATAAGGACAGAACCAAGCCTTTCTCCTCTTTGTATGTATACTTCTTATATAGTGTGCAGGACAGGACCAGCATTCAGTCAATGCTTGTTAACTCAGGTGATTACCCATCAGGATGAGATGTGCCATTAAGAAGTAGACAGAGTCTACAGCTGCAAAGCTCTGGTGGCCAGCAAGAAACAGTATCTACTCAAGTTTTAAGAAAAGTTTCTTTCATTCTTAGGCCAATTCCACCTGGACGAGCTGTTGAAATCTAAAATTCAATGTGCTTAAATTTTTTTATTTTTGCCCCCCAAATCACTTCCTCTTTTTTATTTCCTAGCCATTCTGGCAGAAAAGCTTTGGAACAAACTTGGACCATTTTCTCTCCCTTGTTCTTTCTACATCGAACAATCTTCCAAGTCCTGTAAGATCTACCCATAATTTTTCTCACAGTCTTCCTCCTCTTTTAATTCCTTGAACCACTGTGTTTCTTGGTACCATGTTATAGCTACAACTAGATGTCTACCGCAGCTGCCGCCCAGTTAATCTTTCCTTTTAGCACAGACCTTAAGATGCCAATTCTCCATTCGAGAACCCAAATCGCCCCCACCTACTGACTGATGCACCAACTCCACAGAAGGCACTGGCACCCCTCAGTGGGACAGTACCACCCCACGAACTTGGTCCTCCCCCTCACCTCACCACAACATTCATCTGAACTGGATTTTTCCACATATAACCTACACCAGGCTCTTGTTCAAACTATACCCACCACTCAGAAGTTTCTTTCCTATTCATTTCCCCAATATCTGCCTGTCAAAATCCAACCCATTCGTGAAGGTCCTTCAGAATTTGGAGGTTTGTTTTTTTTTTTTACCGATTTTTTATTTCCCTTTGCGAGATACAGCTCCTATCATCTCTGAATCCTCTGTATCACTTCATCCTTCTTATGACATTTACAACATTCTATTTCGTGTTAGTAATACTTTTTATGCTTTTATTATCTCCTTTACCTGCCTGCAGAGTCTTCATAATTGCAGGGAGAGGATTCTCTCTAGCATGTAGAATAATAGGTGTTTAATAAATATTTAATTAACTGGAGTATAAAAAGATGACTACCAATTTTTTGAAAGCCTTTCAAGGAAAAGGTCCATATTCATTTCATTATTTTTGGTAATACTGTCTTCCTATTTTAAAAACAAATATATGGTTCTATTGTTAAAAAATTTTAAATACAGAAAAGAACGAGGAAAACAAAAAATTCAGAATATATATATTACACATAATCATTATTAACTACTAGTATGTTCATTTTCAGGCATTTTATTCACAACTAACAACATTTCATAAACATTTTCTAATTTTCATGACAATATGAACTTGAATGGCTATACAGAACATCCGTGTAATAGATACTATAGTATATGTAAGTGTTCCCCTATTGGTGAACACTCAAGTTACTCTGGTTCTTTTTGCTGTTAGAATTAAAATCATATATATACTTTTACATATAAATACTTGGCACCTCTGATTATTTCATCAGGACAGAATCCCATAAATGAAAGTACTAGATCAAGAAGCATGAGTATTTTGCCCTAGCTGATGTGGCTCAGTGGATTGAGCACCGACCTGTGACCCAGGGTCACAGGTTCGATTCCCAGTCAGGACACATGCCTGGGTTGCAGGCCGGGCCCCCAGCAGGGGGTGCATGAGAGGCATTGATGTCTCTGTCCCTCTCTTTTTCTCTCCCTTCTCCTCTCTAAAAATAAATAAATAAATAAATCTTTTTTTTTTTTAAGGCATGAATATTTTTATGCTTCTGATATGTGTTGTCAAACTGCTTTCCAGAATAACTGCTACCCCAATAAGCAATGAGTACTGGTGCCACCTTCATAGCAACTTGCTTATTTTGGGTATTAGCAAGTTTACCAATTTGAATGATCAAATATGGCATCTTAGTTAATTTCCATTCTTTTCATTATTAGGTAAAATTTCTAAATGTGTCTGCTGGCACCTACCTTATGAAATTTGTTCTTAGCCTAAACGAATACCCAAATTGAATTATAAAAACTCTGCATGTTCGAGCAAGAAATAAACTGTTTTAGCTCTTCTCAATTCTTTGCTATGTGCCCACTTAACTTTAATGCTCAATATGGAGCTACAGAAACAAACATTTTGGTCCTATCACATACTTTTTTTAATTACAAAATCACAAAAATCACCTAACCTACAAGAACACATTTTTCCTATTGAAGTTTCTCACCCACAAAAGCTGAATAGGTTTTACTTTCTACAGAGTTAACATCAGGCCCAACACGCAAACTTACACAAATGTCAGTTTTACTGTTGTAACATTAAAAACATTAACCTTAAAAAAAAACAAACCCTCTTATTGGCTAAACCACAAAATATAAACAGAAAATACATAACATACTCATAATTTTTAATACTTTAGTAATACAAATGACACCTAAGCTCCATTAAAGCACATAAAATAGGTATTAACTATTTTAAGCTATGAAAATAGAAATATATATGGTTTATTAAAAACTCTTTTTTAAATACTCATATTTTAATCTATTGGTTTTATGAAAGATTGAAAAAAATTTGTTAAATTTACTTGATCAGAATTAGAACTTTTTAATATATACAATAAAATATTGCTGGGCCAATGATCAAAATCATCTTTTGATCCAGCAATTCTACTTCAAGAGATTCCTCCTACAAACAGAGTTCTCAACAAAGAGATACATAGATAAAAGCACTAGAAACAATTTAACACCAATTAACAGGGGAGTGATTACATAATTCATGGTAAATCTGCACAACCAAATACTTTGTATCTAGTCAAAAAAATAAAATAAAAGCATTATTTACAAATACTTACATAGAGTTTAGCATGTGCCAGGCCCTGTTCTAAGTACTTTACACATATCAATTATTTAATCCTCTTATCAGTCTTATGAGGCAGGTCATTATAATCATCCCTATTTTACAGATAAGGAAATAGAGGCACAAAAAGGTTAAGCAACTTGTCCGAAGTCTTACGACTAGTAAACTGTGAACAAGGCTCCAGAATCCTTGCTTTTAATCACCACACTACACTGCGGACCTATATATACTGAAAAGGAAAGCTGTCCAAGATACATTGTTAAGATAGGGGGAGTGCAGGCAAGTTACAAAACAATGTTTAAGATCCATTTATGTTTTTTAAAAGCAAACAGGCAGGGAGTAAATGTTTATATATATAGGAAGTATGCCCCCCCCCGCCCAAACTTCCAGAGAATGAAACTGGGCATTACAGTGGATAGGGAGGGAGAATTCTAATTTCATTTTGTATACCTCTACATAGTTCAAATTCATTTCTTTATATATTAGTTTTATAAAGTTTTTAAACTAGTTAGTAAAAAGAGAATCATTTCACCCCTTGGGTTCCCAAATAACCTGGGGAGAAATTATTTCCCATCCCCTATTTATTTGGTACATCCACATTCGGAGCCTTTCCAATCATTCTCTTCCAATCTGCTCCTTCATCTTTTCTGACTCAGTATTCAACAATTACACACTGAGCATCTTCCAGGTACTAAGCATTCTGCTAAATGCTGGGATATATATGATGAATATGATTTAATCCATAATCTTAGGGACTTACAAAGTTTTAAAAACACTCATGACCTTCACTGAATACAATTATTTTCCCACCTTTTCTTCTCCAGAGTTAATAAAAGAGATTCATTAACAGAAACAAGCATTTTAAACCTCTCTCCTAAAATCTCATCTGATATAGCCTACTCAGTACAGCCTAAATTTAATAAGCATCTCAAACTCACATGTCCAAAACTGAATCCCTGATTGCTCCGTTTATATCTACCTCTCCTAGTTTCCCCGTCTCAGTAAATGAAAACCCCATCCTTTAAGTTCTTTGAGCCAAAAACCTTGGAGACACGCATGGTAGAATCATGTCAGTTCTATCTTCAAAATACATTCCGAATCTAATAACCATTTCTCACCGCCTCACCACTAACGTTTTGTCCAGACCCCCTTCATCTTCACCTGGATTGCTGCACCAACTTCCAAACCGGCCTGCTTCTGCCTTTGCCCCGCTGTATTCTGTTTTCCACAAAGCAGCCAGAGTGACCCCTATCTTGTCACTCCTCTGCTCAATGCCCCCCAGTGACTGACTACGGATTCAGAATAAAAATCAAGTTCTTAACAGGGCCTCCAAGGCCGCAAGGGACCTACCTGCCTGCCTGCCTCCCCACCTCCCCGGGCTCATTTCCTGCCTCTCCTCCCATTCCGCTCCAGCCCCAGGGACCTTGCTGCTTCTCGCACACCAAGTACGCTCTCGCCTCCAGGCCCATGTGCTGCTCTCTTACCCGGGTATCGATCCTTCGTGTAGCCACATGCTCCCTCTCTCACTTCCTTCAAGTTACTGGCCAAAAGTGCCTTCTTAACAAGGTTATCGCTCTACATAAAATAGCAACCCCTGCCTCACCCTTCTGGCATTCCTCCTTTCCACTCTCTTCTCCATCTGACATATACTGACTTACATATTTGCTTCCTGTCTGTCCTGCCTCTATAATGTGAGCTATGATGTGGTCGGTCTTCGTCTATTATGGAACTAAGCCTGTATCCCAGAAAGCACACAATACATTTCTGACTGGATGAATTAAAGAAAATGATTCAAGAGACTCGTGTGAATCCTGAAGTTTTTTGTAAGCAGAGGGAAGCTAACGCCACAAATAAATACTCAAACATTCATACTATGGGGAAAAATTGCTCGTTCAGTTTTTCAGTAAAGTTTATCCTGCATATGAAAGTGACCCTTAACAATCCATGCACAACCTGCTACTTCACAGAGATAACAAAGACAGTGCCGCTGACAGGTGAAAGCACGCCGCCGGTCACCCAGTCCATTTGATCGCTCAAGCCAAACCCAAGAAACCACCCTCGACTCTTCTGTCCCAAACCTTTATGCCATCACAGGTTCCAAAAGACCACACTGTCATTTCTTGCTTAAGACTACTTTACTAGCTTTTCCCTGTTTCTGTTCTTATGTTTCTATAACCCATTCCCCATACAACAGCCAGAGTGATTTTTTAAAACGTCTATCAGACCTGGCCACTACCTCAGATGTCCCATGATTCCCAATGCGCTTGAATAAAAGCCAAAGTCCGCACCCCGCCATAGAAGTCTCTTGCCTGCTTCTCCAGCAGCCTCATATCCCACGACTGCCCTCATCTACCACGCTCCAACTGAATGGTCTCCTTTCTGGTTCCTCAAACGTTCCAAGTTTGCTTTAGCCTTGATTTCTTACACTAATGCCTGTGCCTGGAATGTACAGTACATCCGAATGGTTACTTCTTTTGTCATTGAGAACTTTTAAATGGCACTTTTTTAGAGGGGACTTCCTTCCTTGACTATCTAATCTAAAACAGTCCCCTCGTCTTTACCTATTAGATCTCTCTCCCTCTGTTAACGATCAGTATGGTCCCTATTATTACCTAATATTCTCCCGCTTTTTGTTTTTCTGTTTGACTCTCCAGAACAAGAATGTATGTTTCAAAGGGGCAGGCTCTTACCTGTCTTGTTCACCTGAACACACTCAATAAATCTGTTTAATGTTAAATGAATCTAGAACCCCTATTTGCATTATAGTTTAATATCTTTGTATTATAAAATCTTCTTAAAAATTAAATGGCATCTAACACACACAGTAAAAAGAGACATACCCCCTTAAAGTTTAAATAATCCAGGATAAATTCTATGGTCATGTGACCATTCAAAGTCAGGAATGGTCAACATTAAAGGAAAAGAGACTTGCTAAAGATAATCTAAAACAGTGGAAAATTTAAAAACTCTGATGGACTATGTCTTTAAGACAGATTATAAACATTTTCTATAGTGTTCAAGTAAATTCAGTTGAAATATCAGCTTTAGAGAATATAGGGGAAGGTGAGCAGATGGCAGAAGAAAAACTGAAGTATGACTTGGAGAAGGAAGAGAAGAACAGGAAGAAGAAGCTGTAAATAGCAGGGGTAAACTAGGATTGAAAATTTGCCACAGATAATCTCCAACATGAATAATCCACCCTGGGTAATAGAATATTGACTATAATTACATTCATCCTACTGACCTTGTTCTAAATTATTATGGATTATTACTGCACAAGTTATTTTTGTTCCACACCAGAGGTGGCTGTATTCCGCTATCAGATGACATGACCTCTAATTCAATAATGTCTGTAATGCACTGGTATCCTCAGATAAAAGCTGTCTATAATGTCTGAACAAAGGTGAATTAGTTATCCAATTCACACACGCAATTAACTCTCTTAATACCTGAGAGACCATGGAGGCCCTTCTGAATTTCCTATTAAGTACCACATATGGAGGTCTTCCCTCCATCTGTAGTTATCTTGTGCTGTACTTCATAATAAACAATATTAATAGTTTACTGCCATCAAAAATCTTCCATCAGCTATCAGAAGAGACCTCATTCTGCAAAGCAATGACTCTTTTCCTGGGAAAATGCATTAAATTCAAATGTTATGCCTATTAGTAAAGCACAATAGTTCTCTACTCTCAGTAATGTAAAAATAATAAAACCACCATTAAATACAGAAAATTTAATTTTTTCCATCATTTTTAAGAACACCTCTTAAAAGCCAAAAGGCAGTATTTATAATGTACACATATTTCTGTGTCGTATTAGGTCATTTTAAATAAAAACTATTTAAATTCAGGCATTGAAAAGAAAAAAAAAATCAAAACAGTATTTTTGCCACCTGTTCCCTCTATGCAGCTGAAATTTCATAAATAGTCTGAAGGCAGAGTAGTGTGCCCCGGCTCTGTACCCATATGTAATGCCAATGGCTGTATTTATAAAAGCCCAGATTAGAATAACTGGGTCATGGCAAATGTCAAGCAAATACCCAGGCCTTCTAAAAAGAGAGGTAATTAATTCCTCAGGATATGTTTTTTATTTTTTCATTTAACATTAATGTATCCTTTTAGTAGAGCACAAGAGAACAAAATAAAATCTGCAAAGTGAAACCTGGCTCTTAGCACACATTCACCTGAAAGCTCTCACCCTATCAGATCAGTTCTAGGAGAAAGCAAGTAGTTGGGGATATCTAAGGTTGTTGCTGTAGTTCAAATGACATCTGCTGCTCACCTGCGTTTTCATCTCCCCTCCCAACTCAAAGGAGGGAGGGAAGGCAGAGGAATAACAGGTTCTTACATGTCTTTCACATGGTTTACTTGTCCATGTAATGACAGAAGAAGGACATTCTAGAAACTAAAAAGCTAAGCAAGTGACATTCTTCTCTCCGACAACAATTTAAAGTATCAACCAACCTTCCACGTGCTGCAGCACAAGAAACACCGACTCCTCAGAAACGATGTACTTGTGCAGACACACCATGTTGGGCACACAGCGGGGGATGATGGTCTTTCTGTTCCTGCTGTATTCACTGCTTTTCCTTAGACCCTGACAGAGAACAAAAAGGTCAGTTGTACCCTCAGCTGCCTTTGGAGCCTGCTGTGCTCTGTGTTTATCAACCAAACTAATCTATCCGAGTTACTCTGGGCTTCAGAGAAACCACTCATCTGCTGCTCTATGCCCCTCAGTCCCTGGAGGCTCTGCGGATGGCATCTGGCGTGAATCCAGAGAATGGAAGATGCCACAAAGCTGCCATTAAAATCAATTATGTGGGTCAGTGTTTTTATTAGAGATGCTCTCAAACTAAGTCATCAGGATGACACACCGTTATTTCTCTATGACCTTTTCTTAAGTTGTATTTTACTTGTGTATATTTTTTAAGCAGTAGACACTGTGAGATCAATCCAAATTCCTGAGACACAAAAGGTATTCCTAGATTGAACAGGCAATTTTAAAATTCTACTCCAAAAATAGGCACCCAGCTAGCTCAGTCAGTAGAACATGAGACTCTTAAAATCCTATTCTAAAAAAGTACAAATGTTATTTTAAGTTTTCTCCAAAGGAACAGGTTTGTATAGTTCCTGGTGTCATAGCTTGGTTTAAAAATCTGGGAAAATGCGAGTGATAAAGTATACTCATAAAAAGAAATTTGTTTCAGTATATGTCAACATGACCTACTACCATGCTGATAAAATAAAAGTATCAGAATAAGGGTCCTGACCAGTGCAGTTCAGTTGGCTGGGTGTCATCTTGCAAAACACAGAGCTGCTGGTTCGATTCCTGGTCATGGCACGTGCTTGGGTTACAGGTTCTGTCCCTGGTAGGGTTGCGTACAAGAGGCAACCAACCGAAGTTTCTCTCCCTCTCTTTCTCCCGCCCTTCCCCTTTCTAATAATAAATAAAACCTTTAAGAAAAATTTTAAAGTATCAGAAAAAGAAATATAAAATTAATCTGAAATTGATTAATACTAGATGTTGTGGGAATACTTAAATAGGGATATTTTTAGAATATGTACTATCAAAGTCCATTTCAAATACAATTTCAAAATTAAAAATTGAGGGGTTTTCTTTCCTTATTCATTTAGTTACAAATTGAGTTATATAGAAAATCAAAATAGAGATCTAAAAGAGGGCAAGGAATGTAGATAACACTTTGCCAAATAATTGTAAACAAAAACTTTAAGGCAAAATTTCAGCACGTAGGCACTGTAATTATAATCATAAGCGAGATGGTATGTGGCCTCAACAAATTATACAAAAGATGTTAGAGATGTATTTAAACTGTACACTATACATTTAAACAACATGCAGTCAGTGAGTCTTCAACTTATCCAAATTATTTCCTCCATATATTCTATTACCTAAAAGTACTTTTTAAATGTATGGTATAGAGTATTTATCAACTATGATGGAAGGACAAAAAAATAAAATAAATACAGGTCACCACAAACATAAATGTACATCCAAAAAAGAACATTCAAGCACCCAAGAAAAAATATTAAATATTTTTTTCTTTCAGAGCACAATTTGAAAATAAATTTCAAGATCATTAAACATACTAATTCCACTTACTTTTAAAATGAATGTCTGTTCTGTCCTTGTGTCCATTACAAGTAAAACCTACATAGAAAACATGAGTAATAATTTATTCATAATACAATAAAACATTAACTCCTAACTTTTTAAAACTACATTTTAAGGATTTGGGGAAAAGTGCTGGAACTGACTCCACCAACGCTGTCAATTTCTGAATAGATTTCTTCTTAAGGCACCAAATCACAGGATTAAAATAATCTTATCTAAAGTAGGTTTATTATGGTTTCCTTTCTAAAAATGCCATATTCTAAAAACATTACTATGTTTCCTAGCTTTTAAAATCTACTTCTTAAAGGTAAAAGGAAAAATTATTTTAAAGATAATTGAAAAAGTAAAACATGTATGGTTAAGAAGTAAAATATATATATATATATATATATATATATATATTTTTTTTTTTTTTTTTTAATTGAGAGCTGTGCTCTCAATTTTCTCCCTATAGCCCCTAGTGTAGCCACTTGCTATAATGTGATCTCAGTAACTCAGACTCCAGTCTCAGGCATCCCTACAGTGCTACTTCTCCATCCTGGACTCATCCTAACTCCTCTTTTTCCATCAGCAAATCCTGTCAGCTCTATCTTCAAAATGTACCTTGAAGCTGAACTTGCCTCACCACTTCCACAGCTATCTCCCTGATCCAAACAAAGACGCACCTGGATTATAATAATCACCTCCCTAAAGATCTCTCTGCTTCTGTCTTTGCTGTCCTTGGTCTATATTCTTAAATAGCAGCCAGGCTGTTCTTTTTAAACCAAAGTAGATCATATCACTCATCTCATGCAGAGAAAAGGCCTATATCCAAAAAATAATTTCAGGACCCTGCGTGATCTCACACATTGCCCCTCAACCTACCAACTCCTCCACCATCTTAATGGATAGAAAGAGTAGAGAGAGAGAGGAAATTATCCTACCATATTAATATTATACTATTTTGGAGACACCATTATCAGGGGATGGCAAATTTTTCTATAAAGAGGCAGGTAGTAAATATTTTAGGCTCTGTGGGCCCATGTGGTCCCTGCTGCAGCAACTCAGCTCTGCCGCTGCAACGCAGAAGCTGCCACCACCTGAAATGGGCCGCGACAGGAACACTGACACCACCGAAACCTGCAAACACTGAAAGAGGGATGGTTCTTTCCCAACTCCAAAGAACTGGGCGTCAAGGATGAAAAAAAACTGTCAAGCTTGGGAAAATAAAAAATGGGCAGTTAAGATGGGAAACCAGTTTGAGAAGAGGATGGCAAATCCCATTTTAGACAGAATGAATTCGATGCAATAGTGACATCATCTTTGAATTCTCTTCTGAGTGCCTGACATACTTATGTAGGTCTCCATACTCATCCTTTCCTCTTTCCAAAGCCCTGTCCCCACTAAAAACAAAACAAAACCCCGTTGCTCCTCCTGTAAAACCAAATACTACTACCATCCACGGAAACCCCCAATTCAAAAAGTTCCGTGAGTCACTAGGAATTCCCTGCCCCCTCCCTTCATCACCAGCAACCAAGACAGTCAGTTCCACCCCTAACTATTTCTCGTATCCACTCTCTACTCCTTCACCTACCATGTTTAAGTGTTTACTATGTGCTAGGCTTTAACCACGTGTAATTAGTGTTAATTCTTTCAACTACCCAATGAGATCATTTTACCATTCCTATTCTAACTCTGAAGACATTATAGCTTCAGCTGTAGAAGCCATAATGGTTGATAATAATGGTATCTACCATATGTGAAAATTTCAGTGAGAGATAATCCTGTAAAAGTGCTCGGTATAGCCAGTTGCTATTATTATTGCTATCACTATTATTGCTTCTTCTCCCTAAAATGCTCCCCTAGCTGCTTACCAAACAAGTACTCATCTTTCCATATTCAGCTCAAATGTCTGTCTCTTAGTAACAGACACTTTTTCCTGTTGTTCTCACACTGTACACCATAGCAATTTCTATGATAACATTTCTAAGCCTTCAGTTTGGTTTTATGTTTACTTGTGTCTCCCAATCAGATTTCAAGCTTTTTACTGGCCTGTTGTAGGCAGAATAACGGTGGCCAAAAATGTTCACACCTTACTCTCCAGAACTCGTGAATGTCATATTATTGGCAAAAAGGACTTTGCAGGTGTAATGAAGATACAGACCATAAAACACACTATCCAGGATTCTCTGAGTGGGCGCAATCAAACCACATGAACCTTTAAAAGCAGAGAACTGACTCTGGCTAGACATGGAAAGCACGGAAATGATAAAACAGAAGAGGAAATCCAAAAGGCCCGAAGCCTGAGAGGGGTGCACGGCGGCCGGCTCTAACATAAAGGCCCACATGTTAGCATGGAGAGAGGCTTCTGGGAGCTCAAAGCAAGCATGAGAAGGAGCGGGTGTTCTAGGGGCGATGACCAGCCCTTGGCTGACAGCCAGCAAGGAAGACCCCTACAACCCACCAAAACAAAAGGAATTCAGTCAGCAACTTGAATGAGCTCAGAAGTGGATTTTCCCCCAGGACGTCCAGGAAAGGATGCGGTCCTGACAGCACCTTGATTTCAGTCCAGCGTGACCCGTGTCAGACATGTATCCCATATGACACGATACACTTAGTTGTTTTAAGCTGCTAAGTTTGTGGTCATTTGTTATGGCAGCAATGAAAACTGCAGAGGGCAGATTATTGTGTCTCCTCTGACCCATCAATCTCCCACAGTGAATGTTCAAAGTGAATAAATTCAGGTATAAAAGTTTGAAGGTACACGGCAATACGGGAATGGAGCTTAGAAAACACACTGAAACTAAAGATTTATATTTGCGCATTCTCCATAAAAATAACAGCTAAAGACATGAAAACATACCCCACTAAAATGCTTACTTTATACCAGGCACTATGCTGGGTTTTAAAGAATTAAATCATGTAATGCATTCAAGTAGTCCAACCAGGTAGGTATACTTTAACACATTTTACAAATAAGGAATCAAACATAAAACTGTTAACTTGCTTATGCTCATGAATCTAAGAAGTGGTAGAGATGAAATTTAAACTTCAGCAGTCTGGCTCCAGGGTTCTTCCTTTTTTAACTGCTAAGCTATACTATTTATGTTTAAATTTTGAAAGTTACACAAAGTTGGAATATTGAGGGTGTATAGGCAACCACCACCAAAAGTGTAGTGAGAAAAGTACAAAGAAAGGCAAAAAATTTAATTGTTCAGAAAGGAGAAAACCAGAAAATACAGTGGTTCAGATGTCACAGAAATAAAATGCTTTAAAATAAGAGTAATCACCTATGACAAACACCAAGGAGAAGCCGTGAAGGACGAGAACTGAGAAGGGATTGCTGCCTAAGGCAGTTAGGAAGTCACTGGTCACCCTTTAAAAAAAAAAACAAACAACACCACTATTTATTTATTTTTAGAGAGACAGGAAGGGAGGAAGAAAGAGAGAGAAACATGGATCGGTTGCCTCTTGTGTGCCCCCAAGTGGGGACCCAGCCCGCAACCCAGGCATGTGCCCTGACTGGGAATTGAACCAGCGACCTTTTGGTTCACAGGACGATGCCCAAACACTGAGCTACACCAGCCAGAGGCATAGGTAACATTTAATACTGTGTTATGCAGTGAACTGGTGAGTACAAAAGCCAGGCTCCTCTGAGTTAATAATGGGTGATAAGAAAATGGAGGTGACACATATAAATCATATATTAATAGAGAAATATGTCAAAAGAAGGAAAAACACTAAAATGAAAGAGTCGGTAGGATCATCAGGTTCAAAACTATTTTCAGGTAGGGTAGACCGATCCTATTTGCCTCGTAATTTCCCTTTGAGCTACATTCACCACCCATCTTGAACCTCCATGGCATGGGAACACATCCAAAGAACTTGAACCTTGACAGTTAAGTTAACCTGTCATGAGAGCAAAAGGAGGCACAGGGGCCCTGCCCTCGCTCTGCGAAAAAGTATTCAATGAACACTGGTTCCTTAGATCTCATTTGTTTTTATATCAAACTGTGATTCTTTTAAGCCACTCACCAGAATGCCAGTCCTATATTTAAATAAGATACATCTAGGAAATATAAAGGTTTCACTAGGTAAAAGATTTGGAAGCTGCCACAAAGGAACTTCTTTTTCCAACCAGAAGCCTCTGAATTGACTGAACAGATATATGTGCATAAATGAGAAGTGATTCTCTTTGCTGGTCTCACTTAGCTATGAAGCATGAAGTGGATCAGATAAAAAGGCCAAATTAAGATGGATAAACATGGCTGGGAAGTGCTGCTTTGTTTACATTTACTATCTTCTCCTACCAAGTTTGTTTGCAGCTCGACAACGTTCACATTGAGGCCATAAACACAAGAACATATGTGATTTTTTTAAAATGTGCCCTTTGACTGTCAATTTCTCCCAAACAGGTGTTGGCTAAATGATTATAAATTGGCCTCTGGATACACCTCTTCAACTGAGCCGTACAGGGCTGGTGATAATATAATTAGACCTAAAAACATCAGGCCGGTGAATGCTTTCCATCTGTTTGGCAATAATGTTTAGTTAACAATAGTCTTTAAAAGAAGCACCTTCAACTTCAGTTCTTAAAGTTATTTATAGAGCCATTCTTAACACACCAGCACTCTTGCTAACAAGAGCTTTAGCCACTTGGAAATTATTAGCCATACGGCTGTATACAAAGAGAAATGACTACATTTAACATCTGTATCTTTCCAAATTTACACGCTTCAACCTCATTTAAAGTCATTTCTTAATGAACAGTACTGTGGTGCTGCATTAATATTATAGTTGCATGCACAAAGATCATAAGGAGCCAAACATTTTTTTAATGCCAACAGTAGGCCAATCTGTAATGAAGCTGTCAGTATAAAGGACAAAATAATAGCTTCTTTAACCCTCAAACAGAATTTGTTCATTTGTAGACTAGAACACATCAATTTAAAAACTGCTCATGGGTTTGCTCACCTTTATAAAGACAAAAATCTAATTTGGTACTAATTTGATACAATTGTCTTTCCAATAAAAGGCTCCTAAAACCATCTCTTATT